CTTAGAACCTGTTCCCTTTCATAGTCACCTCATGTGACAGTAGAGCTGCTCTGTAGGGTTTTCTAGGCAGTGAACTCTAAGGGAGAAGACTGCCAGGTCTGTCTCCTGGGGAGCTGCTTTGGGTTAGAACTGCCACATCTTGGTGAGCAGGCTAATTATTCAATCACTTAAAACATCAACTTTTCAAAAAAGGCATATACAAAGTCCTCAACTTATTTAAACTGAACTAAAATGCCAAAAATTATTTTTTTTAAATTATTTTCTTTTGATTAACATTTGTTGAGTGAGATAAGGTCCTTGTAAACATGAAGTCTTCTACCACCTTAGAGATGTAGTAAAAACCAAGGGATGCTGTCCTTAAATCCAAAGAAAAGATGGAGCCAAGTGCGATAGAGAACAAGGTAAGCATTATTAAATTTAAAAATCACTACAGAAATCCTAAAACACAATTGCTATATTTAGTTTTTGAAAATGATGATGTATTTTAAATCATCTGTCATAGATGATAGTTGCCCCCACTCAAGAAATACCATATACTCGAGTATAAGCTGACCCAAATATCAGCTGAGGCACCTAATTTTACCCAAAAAATTGCATTAAAATGTGCTGAAAAACTCCAGTTATACACGAGTATATATGGTACCGGTTGCTTTCAGTTTATTGTAGTTGGAACTGACTTGATGGCAGTGGGTTTGGATTTGGATTATGGATGAAGAAGTTATGAGTATCATCATTTAGGATTAAAAATCAGGTCAGGTGATAATGAAACTAAGTTCCCAAGATTGCTATGTATGAAGACAAAATAAATAATGGCTCCTTAGAACAGGTAATACTATTGAGTTAGAACGCTGTAGAGCAGGAAGAACTCGTAAAATGATATCTGAGCTACGTGGCAATGCAATGATGATGCAACTGCACACACAGCACAATTCGACATGCTGACATAAGGAAGGACAAAGAAAACTTTAATGTGGGCAATAGTAATTCCAAAAATAAAGCTAAAACCCGAACTTCTTGCCACTGAGTGAATGATGACTCATAGAGACCCTACAGGATAGGGCAGAACTGCCCCCTGAGAGTTTCCAAGGCTGCAGCAGTTTACAATAGTAGAAAGCCAAATCTTTCTCCTCTGGAGAGGCTGGTGGTTTCGTACTGTGGACCTTGAAGATCATAGTCCAATGTTTAACTACTACACCACCAGGGCTTCACGAAGAAAGGAAGTTTAAGGAAACAGTATTCCACAAAGATACAAAGTCCATTTCTAAACATTTATTTATGAGGAACTCCAAAAACAGAGTACTAATCAGTTCGAAGTAGACGATTCCCACCTCAGGGCCACAATGGTTTCACCTGTTCTCCCTCTCCCCACTCCCAGTGAGTTAATCTGAACCACTTCTAAGGAACATGCTAAGAGGCTATTTTTAAGCACATTATTGAAGCAAATAAACACATACCAAGGACTGCAAAAATACTGCTTGCTTGTGAGATGTGTAGGGGGTAGAATGGGGGAGGCAGTTTGCTTAAAGGATAAATCTGAAAGGCTAAAATAGCCTATAAAAATACAAGTAGAAATCAATGAAAAAAAAGGAAAAACATCGAATCATAGCAGGTGAACTATAAATGTACTATTAGTGGTCCATCCAAAAAACACTTGGCTTCTTAGAGCCCCCAAACATGACTGACATATATGAAAAAAAACCTCCCTAAATATTAGTGGGTACCAGTCTATAATTAACCAGGACTTGATGATGGTGATTAGGCAGAGCTGTATCTTATCTTGAAAGATTTCCTTAAAAAAAAACAAAAAAGATTTCCTTATGGATAAATTAGGTTTGACAGGATGTGCAGGAATTAAGTCAGTCACACACCACACACAATAAAGTTAGATTCTGGGGCAGGGGAAGGAAAAGCGGTGGGGGTTATATCTTAGAGGAACACAGAGGCCAGCATGGGGTATGAACAAAGAGAGAAGAGAAGAAAGGTGTTGAAAGAAGCCACAGAGAAGCCAAGGGCATTTTCAAAAGCTCCTGAGGTTGTGTCAAAAGGAATCCAAGAGCCAACCTGAACAGGTTCCTACATGCCTAAGATGGAACAATTTGAACATCAGAAGGATAAGTGGAAGAAACTGAAACAGATGGAATTAATTTAATCCCCCCAAATGCTTGCTGGGCCCCAATCGCTGGATGGGAGAAAATGAACTCGTTCTGTTGGAAAAAGTAAAAAGAAGGACACACGTGCCTGCACCTCCATAAGTAAGGGCAGAAAGGTAGGGATGCGCCAGGTTGGGCAGTGCCCTATGAAGAATTTTAGTCTATTACTTAATGGAGAAAATAGAAAAGGACAGATTGTAATACCTTATGATTTACTGAGATCAATTTGGATCCAGATTTTTCTCCCCAACTGTCTCTAAACAAATCTTTTTAAAAAGAGAAAAAACTGGGGG